TAGGCCATAACTTGTCAAGTTATGGTTCATAACCAGATAAGTTATGGACAAACTTGTCAAGTTATGGTTCATAGCCGGACAAGTTATAGATAAAAATGGATAATAACTTGTCAAGTTATGGTTCATAACCAGACAAGTTATGGATAAAAATATTAATTTGGCCTATTTATTAACTTATGTAAACTATTGGCCTATTAATTTTAATTCATCTCAAGTCTTGGCCTATTTCCCTCTTTCTCCCTATAAATAAATAAGGCCAGGCTTAACTGAAGCTTAAAAAATTACCGTAGCCAAAGATGGATAAATTGAGTGTTTTAATTTATTTTCTCGCTTCACCCACTTTATTTAAAGCGAATCGTGGCTAATTAGTTAGATTCTCACATATGAAGGCCGAGACCATGCAAAATATTTGATTATAAATAAATAAAGCTTGGCCTAGCAAAAGCTTAAACAAATACCATAGCCAAAGATGGAGAAACTGAGTGTTTTAACTTGTTTCTTGCTTCATCCATACTAATTAAAATGAATCGTGTCTAATTAGTGAGATTTACACATATGAAGGCTGGGGGCATCTAAAATATTGGGGTATAAATAAATAAGGCTAGGCTTAACTAGAGCATAAATAATTACCATAGCTAAAGATGGAGAAATCAAGTGCTTTAATTTGTTTTCTCGCTTCACCCACTTTTTTTAAAGCGAATCGTGCCTAATTAGTGAGATTCTAAAAAATGAAGGCCGTGTAAAATATTAGAGTATAAATAAATAAGGTTAAGCATAATTAGAGCGTAAATAAATACCATAGTCAAAGATAGAGAAACAGAGTGTTTTAACTTGTTTTCTCGCTTCACCCATACTAATTAAAGTGAATTGTTCCTAATTAGTGAGATTCATAAATACGAAGGTCGGGGTGTGTAAAATATTGGGGTATAAATTAATAATGTTAGGCTTAACTGGAGCTTAAATAATTACCGTAGTCAAAGATGGAGAAATTAAGTGTTTTAATTTGTTTTCTCACTTCACCCACTTTATTTAAAGCGAATCGTGTCTAATTAGTGAGATTCTCACAAACGAAGGCTGTGCAAAATATTGGAGTATAATTAAATAAGGCTAGGCATAACTGGAGATTAAATAAATACCATAGTCAAAGATGGAGAAACCGAGTGTTTTAATTTATTTTCTTACTTCACCCATACTAATTAAAGTGAATCGTGCATAATTAGTGAGATTCACACATACGAGGATCAAGGGCATATAAAATATTGGGTATAAAAAATTAGGCTAGGGTTAACTAGAGCTCAAATTAGCCAAAGAAACAAAACAAAATTCAAGGATGAATCTATCATCTATATTAAGAAACCTATTAATTTAATAAATCTATTTCAATGTTAAAAGAAAAAAAAAAGACTAAAAAATTAATAAACCCATTACCTTAAAGTTCGGAGAGCATAACAGGTATATTTAAAAGTTTAGGGACATATTGACACAAGCTACAAAGTTCAGGAGGCGTTTATAAGCATTTTCGTTAAAAAACTTAACGGAGTTAGACTTACGAGGCATGTTGACATAAGGAACAAAATTAAAGGAGCACAACATACACATTTTAAAGTTAAAGTGGCATTTTAACACAAGTGACAAAGTTAAGGGACAATTTATAAAATTTGTCCTTATCATAAATGATAGTTTTAATTTCTCAATAAAAATTAAAGATGCACCACAATAGTGTTTTAAAAGAAAACAACTTAAATCAATACAATTTATTTAAGCAAATAAATATGGCATTTATGAAAGATGAAAAAGAAAATTGATTTATATCCCGATAGAAATAAAACCCCATTACTCACAAATGGTGAGTCCCACTAAGTTGGGTCTCACCTACTCACCTAGCGGGGATCCACCTTACGTAAGTAGCGGGGGTTTAACTGCATTGGGATGAATAAAGATGCTCAAACAAAAAAGAAGTTAACACCTAGAAGGAAAAAAACAAAAACAAAAAAAACAAAAGCAAAAAAAAATTTAACGTGTAATGTGAAAAAAGTTTCCCATTTTCCATTAATTTTTATCTTAAAAAGGCTTAATGATATAATAAAAAGGGATAATTTTAATTTGGTACCTTATGTTACAGCGAAAATGACGTTTGGTACGCTTTGTTTTCAATAATTTAGAATTGATACCTCGACGTTTTAGACAATCATTTTTTAGTATGCTGAGGTCCTTTTTGGAGATGCAAAATGTCAAAATTATCCTTCTCATTAATTAACCAAAAACTTATAAATTTTAAAAGATTTTGAAAAGCTTTTATACATTTAAAGGCATTCTTTACTATGAGACAAAAAAAAAAAAAAACCTCCACCAGTGGAACTTTTAACCGTTGGATTAATTTTTTAACGGTCAGATCTGCACTAGGAACAGTTCTGTATGGTGCACTATAAATTTTGTACAGATCTAAAAGATGAAATATTAATTCAACAGTTAAAAGTAAAGGTTCCACCGATTAATTTTCTTGGGGTTCCATTATAGAGGTTGCCATATTTAAAACTTAAAATAAAAAGTACACACTCTTTTTACTCTCTCTCTCTCTCCCTCTAAACCTTCTCTCTTTCTCAAAAACAATAAACTTCGCAGTTTTGAGAAACAAAAAACAAAAAAAGATTTGAGAAATTTGATCTCCACCTGCAACATATTGGCACTTCCAAATTTATTAATATCCTTGAAAAGCACGTGGTGAAAATAGTTGATATAACTAAACAAAAAACCCCATAAGAGGTTCAGGTACTTAAAAATGATATTAGCGAAAAGATCTCAATAAGTTATCTCACTTCAAGAAAGAGATGGAATGAAATTATTGTCGACGATGTATTTGCATATGCAATAGCTCTTGATATTACAAAAGAAAGCAAGGATCTTGATCTCAAGTCTGTTGAAGCATATCAACATAGAAATTATTGACCAAAATGGAAAGACGCAACCCAAGTAGAATTAAATTCACTTGAAAAACCCCAAATCTTTGGACTTGTTGTCAAAACACCGAAAGGTGCCAAACCCATCATAGGTTACAAGTGGCTATTTATGTGAAAACGTGATCAGATAAATGATGTTGTAAGATACAAAGCACGATTTGTAGCACAAGATTTTTCACATAGACTTGGTATTGATTATAAGGAGAAATATTCTCCAAAAGTGGATGCAATTACATTCAAATATTTTATTAGTCTGACAATTTCAAAAGGACTTCATATGCATCTGATAGATGTTATAACAGTTTTATCTGTATGAATTATTTAATCGTAACATTTACATGAAAGTCCTTAAAGGACTAAAAATGCTTGAAGCACGCAACTCCAAATCTTGGGAAATATATACAACTAAATTACAAAGTCTGGATATCTTTAGAAGGAGTAATACATTAACAATCTAATTTATCCATGTGTTTTTATCAAGGAATTAAAGTCTGAATTTGCTATTATTGCAGTTTGTGTTAATGATTTGAACATTACTGGAACTCCTTCAAAGCTTAATGAGACGATAACATATTCGAAAAATTAATTTGAAATGAAAGATTTATGAAAAATAAAATTTTGTCTCGACTTGCAGATCGAGCATTTGTGTGGATGGATTTTTGTTCATCAATCAACTATATCGAGATAGTATTGAAACGTTTTAATATGAATAAATCCCATCCATTGAGCTCTTCCATGGTTTTTCAATCCCTTGATGTGAAAGAGGATCCTTTTCATTCTCAAAATGATAACTAATGAAGAAATTCTTGGTCCACGAGTAAGGTATATTGGTGCACTAAGGTATCTTGCTAACTGCACTAAGCAAACCCTCACCGCCACATCTTCAAATCATGCTGGAATATTGGTAATTCATGAGGCAGGCCCAGAATATGTTTGGTTTAAATATCTGTAGGCCGAGAATATGTTTGGTTTAGATATCTGGTACAACATGTAAGGAAAACATGTGATCTTCCATTCAACAAAGAAAATCCAAAGGTATTGTGTAAAGATAATGCAGCCTGTATCGCTAGCTCGACTCAATGGAGGTTACATAAAAAGAGACAGAACTAAGCATATTTCAGCCAAATTCTTTTTCATGCTTGAACTTCAAAAGAAAGGAGAAAAAGAAGTCCAAATTTGCTCCGGTGACAACTTGGTAGATTTATTTACAAAACCACTTCCTATAACATTTGAGAAATTGGTACATAAGACTGGCATGCGTCAATTTGGGGATCTTTGAAGAAGATATAGGGGAATACTTTTTGGTACTGTACTTTTTTCTCTTAGCCTAGGTTTTGTCCTATTAAGTTTTCCTGACAATGTTTTAATGAGATAGTTCCCAACGCAAAACCTATAAGAATAATATATATTTTTTTCCCTTCACTTAGATTTTTTCCCAAATGGTTTTTTCTTAATAAGATTTTTAATGAGACGCATTCTTAATAGTGGACATCTAAGAGTGGTAAATTAATTGCACTAGAGGCTAGCTCTTAATATTCCATAACCTTCATGGATATTAAACCACTCATTTAAACCCATTATTTCCCCTCTTAATATTTTATATTATTTATTAATTATTCCTCTTTTAATTTAAAATATTATTTATTCATTATTCCTCTTATATTTGCACTTATGCAATTTATGCCTTCTCCTATAACCTCTACTTATGATCTTTAGGTTATAAATAGAGGTGGTGTTAACTTGTATAACCATCCTTCACAACTGATAAGAAAAGAATAGAAAGTCTCGTATTTCTCCTTCTGCTGTCTTTTGTTCTGGTTAGTTTCTTGCAATATACAACATATTCAAAATCATTTTATTTCCCAGATTAAAATGATAACGCCTCAAAAAATAAAAAAAGGTTGATAAATGGTTTATCCTACAATGACGGGGCTGGGATCAAGTGGGGCGGATTGGAGATTACCACGGACGCAAAAGCATTGCAGGGAAAGGAACTGTTCCACAGTTTCCGGTCATATTCACATTATATAAAAAAGGCAAAACTCGCAAAAAAATGGCTACTTTTAAACAACTTACACTAATATCATATTAATATACATGGAGAAACCTAAACCTAAACAACTTGATCTAGATCAACTACCAGAACGAAACAGTTTAAAAGCTCTTGATTCTGAGGGCCATCAGACATACCAGCCGGATCATGCAACTCACCGGCACAGCACTACGCTACAAATAATAGCAACTAAGTGTAGCTAATTACATGAAATTATCTCTTGAGAGTCATCTATTGACATGCCGGAAACAAACGCAATTTGAAGTTAACAGAACCCTGTCCACGACTCACAAGAGCAGGACGATGCGTCTTGAACAAGAATTTCTCACTCGTCACCTCCTCCGCCCTGAATTTGCATGCTGGTGGGCAGCTTTGCTATCGTTCCGAATCCTATCAGCATACATAGGCAGGCGAATAATCTCAGATATCTCATTCAACAGGACCTCTTCTGTGATGTTGTCCCTTATGCTCCGCATGACCTGTTTGCAAGAAATCAATGCAAGCAGCATCAGTATATGTCCAAGCTCGGGTAAGATTAGTAACAAATAAACAGATCAGAGAGAGAGAGAGAGAATAGAGAGCAGTAACCTTTTTGTAAGTGTTGAAATCATTTGGAGTATTTTTGTCCGTCCTAACACGCATAGACGTCCACACTTGTTCTTCAGGATCCCAAGAACACTCGATAATTTTTCCAGAGTAAATTGAGGGATCTGAACCATCTGAAATTTTCAGTTTTGGGAGTTACGAAATCAGAAACATGGATTCGCATCATCAATAAAATATAAACAGTTTGAGTAACTTGATGTTAGCAAATAAATGGATTCTCTAGAGGGGACAGACGAACTGCTAAAAATGGGCAACAGCTGGGTTCAAAAACATATATGAACCTACATATAAGCAAAAGTTCCACCGACACCAACCACCAATGAGCAGCAATTTTGTAGACTAACATGAATGCAAACTATCATAAATCCAAACAAACTTCAAAGTTACAAAAGCGGGAGTTCATAAAGCCTCCAGCGTACCTGTAAGCCAGAGAGTAACAATATACAAAAGAAAGCAGGCTGCTGGAAGATAAGAATAAATTCCAACATCTAGCAGTACAGATGCAAATTCAAATTTTTACATTTTTTTTAGTCAGCACAACGTTTTTGGCCAAACAGCAGATAGCAATACAAGAGACATCATAGTTATGTTGTTCTCTCAGTTTTTTCCAGTTTCGTGGGACTTTGGATCCTCCTTGCATTATCCAATTTTTTTTTTTTTTTCATTGGGTCGTCCTTCATTAACCATTTTTCCTTAATGAAGTTTCGTTTTCAAAATAAATAATAATAACAGCAACAACGACGATGACGACAACAACAAAAAAAATTATTATTTTAATGAACTTGTCATCGTGGACTTCGGATCCTCCTTGCATTGTCCAATATTTTTTTTTTTCAATGGGTTGTCCTTCATTATCCATTTTGCCTTAATCAAGTTTCGTTTGCAAAATAAATAAAAATAACAGCAACAACAACAATGACGACGACAACAACAACAACAACAAAAAAAACAAACAAACAAAAAACTAGACACCACAAGCTAGCAGAACATCAGTTGTCATGTCGCAAAAATAACACATTGGAATGAGCAGCAAATCACAGTAGGAGATTAGGTGATGAAAGTCTTGTTATTCCGGTCATACATTTTTTTGTTTTTTTGACGAGTATTCCAGCTTGTTTTTTTCATTCTGATGTCAAACTCCAACAATTGAAAGCAATGACCTTAAATAGTATAGTCGGTATTCTAAAAGAAAACATGGCCAGAAGTCCAATCCGATGGTAGAAGGCCTTGAAAATGTCGCAAAAACAGGTTGACTGCCAGAAGTGCCCTAATCAACTAACATTCTTTTCCATATCTAAAAGGTTAAGCATACTTTGTCTTATCTAATGAGAATGTGATGACAAATAGATTAGGATTATTTTTAATATTTAAATTTGATTTTAGGATTATATTTATCTTTTTATTATTTTAAATTTATTTATATTTATCTCCTTTTTAGAATAGGATTAGGATTTCATTCTCTATAAATAGATTAGTGATTGTTATTTTTAAGAAGGTTTTTGATTATTAATGATATTGAGATTATTGGTTTATCCCTCTTGAGTTCTTCCTAGATTTCTCTGTCTTGATTATTCTTCTCTATCTTGGTTCCGTTTCTCTTTATTGTTTCTGTTCTCTCTCTAAATTCTATCTATGTTCTTCTATTCTACCCGGTCCTACATCAATTGGTATCAGAGCGAAGTCGCTTCCTTTGACCAAAACTATCCCTTTTTCTTTTCATTTTCCCATACCAAAACAATAAGTCTCTTAAGAAAAAAAATAAAAAGTGAACCCTATCATCATATCCTCTACACGCATGGGAGAGAAATTCTGCTGATTGTTTGCATATTGTTGTGGACGGCAACCAAAAAAATAAAAATAAAAATAAAAATAAAAAACACAGAAGAAATCAAAGTAAAAAAGGCGTTATTATTATTGTGCTCATGATGAAGAGTTTGCAGACAACATTTTGGAGCCCAAAGCCTATGGTGAAGATTTAGTGCACCGTTGCCTTCTACTGTGGGTTGCTTCTTATGTTGGTACAATTTCCTAATTTCTTGAACTTTTTTTCTATAATCTTTTAGGTGGTAATTTAATAATGTGTTTGATCCATTAAACAATAAAAAATCATTATGAATTTTCCATCATCTAACCGCTACCACAACTCCTATTATGATGGCCAATTTACCTATGCTCTTGAGAATTCTTACAACCAAACGGAAGATTAAGTTTGGGTCATAAATTACACTGCTTATTTTCAAACTTATATCTTAGTCAACAATACACCTTGCAAACGTGTTATTGACGAGGGTAGTGAAATTAATGTTATGTCAACCAAATTTGTCAACCGTTTAAATATTCCAACAGAACCTCATCCTCAACCGTTTTGGGTACATTGGGAAGATAAAGGTTATTTTGCAGTCACCGAAAGATGTCTACTACCTCTTAAATTTGGTCCTTATGAGTTATATGTTTATTGTGATGTCCTTCCTATGGATGTTACTCATATTTTGTTAGGACTTCCTTCGGTTGATAATCATGATGTGAGATATGCCAAAGGGAATCAATATGTTTTTCAACATAATGGGAAAACTTTGATCTTGAAACCAGCCAAACCAAAAGAAACCCGTGTGTCTATGCCTATTCTCCCTTCCCCAATTCCTAGTTTACCAAACCCATCTATTGAGAGTGATGGTGCCAAAAACGAGGTTGTGACAAAAAACAAAATTATTGATACTCCTTGTCCTGAGCCTATTGTTGATAAACCACCTCCTCTAAAAACCATGAATCTAATTCCTCCGAATCAGTTGTTGAAAGTGGATCTAATGCATATTTACTTAAATTTCCTTCTAATTTGATTATGGAATTAATTTTCAGTAAGATAGAATTGTTTCCTAACTATGGTGATTAGAAGCCTCGAGTGTTGTTGATGTTTTCTCTACAGCTAGAATGTCTCTCCAGAATCAACTTGCAAGCTCCAATGGCTCGTTTCAAAATCCAGTATTAAGGCCGAGAGATTTCTTGCTTTTAAGATTGTTGCTTCATGATTCTTTCCAAACTCGCCGAAGTCGAGTTTCTTCAACCCAGGGAAAATGATGACGAATAGATTAGGATTATTTTTAATATTTAAATTTGATTTTAGGATTATATTTTTCTTTTTATTATTTTAAATTTATTTATATTTATCTCCTTTTTTTAATAGGATTAGGATTTCATTCTCTATAAATAGATTAGTGATTATTATTTTTAAGAAGGTTTTTGATGATTAATGATATTGAGATTATTGGTTTATCCCTCTTGAGTTCTTGTTCTTCCTAAATTTCTATCTCTCTCTTGAATATTCTTCTCCATCTTGGTTCCGTTTCTCCTTATTGATTATGTTCTCTCTCTAAATTCTATCTCTATTCTTCTATTCTAACCGGTCCTATATCAGAATGTGACGTTAGTTGAAAAAGAAAGGTATATCTCCATCCTAGAATTCTTAGATTTTCCCTATTTTGTTTCAGACCGTGTTCCTATATTTCTTACCCTTCTTGCTAAGAGTCCTGGAAAATTCATCACACAAAATTTTACCAAATGCTTCAATTGTCAAGGATGAACAACAGAACACGATAAGTCAGAAATTGGACTCTGTCTACTGCTCTGTCCAATGTCCAACGAAAAAAACACGTCTTCCACTCTTTAATAAAAGTTTGTATCATAGAAAAAAAAAATCATAAAAATAATAAGAAAAAACAGAATTTGTCCATCAAGTTAAAAGGTCCTCAACTAAGTTCAGGGTCCTCAACTAAATAAGGGATGCAGAAAATATTACCAGAGCCAAGAGACAACTGAAAACTAAAGAAACCACTGACCTTTGAAGACAACCCTATTTCCTTCCATCAGTTTCTTCTTCCCCCGTTCATAAAGGAAAAGTAGCTGGCGATCATCATCACCAATCTGTCCACACAAAGAACGGGTTTCATTAAAAAATTAAAATCACATGAATGTTAGGGACCACATAGGAAGAAAAAGAGTGATAACTAAAGTAATAGCTAAAATAATACAATGCAGTTGATGGAACCACCTCGAATAAAAAGTCAACAGAGTTCATCTCAGGATATTTCCACTTCAAGAGGCCTTCATGAGTTCGGGGAATATACGGATCATCCCAGCCCTGATAGGTAAAGATTATGAGCTTACATTGCAATGTGCAATAAAATAATTAAAACCATAGCTCAGCTATCTAAAACACGCTGGTCATAATCCCTATGCCGTATACTGGGCGTAATACATCCCGAGCATTAATAATCAGAGATATTGAACAAAGAACCGCAATTATCACATAATAATAGTAACCGAAAAGCCCTTTCTATGGCAATGGGCTGAGAAAATTATGATTGAATTTGAAACAAAAAAATTATAAATTCTTGGAACCAAAAATTGCCATAGATTATGTAAACCTAGTATGAAAGAAATTTATCAGAAGAAAAGAATTTTTAAATCATTAAGCTGTTTCTGATCCTCAACCACCTGAAAAATTAGACCATCAGCATCATGAGACAGCCTAGGAATGAATTCCTTCAAAAGCTTTGTAACAGTAGAGAGCAACCAGAAGTCCTTCCTTCTCACCTATTAAAACGTTTGTGCTTATCAATCTCAGCATGAAGTTCTATAAAAGCACAAGTAAAAAATGAATTTAAGCAACCCTGGATTAGCAACTGTACCCTGAATGGTTCCAAGTCATATCTATAATAAGGATTCCTACTCTGGTAAATACTATGGCGTTCCTGATTACGAGGTTCAATCACTTCTTTCTCAAGCATCTTCCACCTTTCATGAAAAGGTCTCTGCATCATTCCCAAATAAAGTTAGACATACAAAAAAGATGGACAAAAATCTAAAAGGACACGGAGAAAACTCAAATTTTTAAGAGAAACTTGTAAAGTTTTTCCCCTTGAATTAAATTTGCCTTGTTTAAAGAAATAAAAAGGAAGGAAACGAAAGAAAAGAACAAAATTGGCATTGCAGCAGAGAAATAATATGTAGAAATTGAAGAATATAAATCCAACCTCTATGACAGACATTTGGTTAATCACCATCAGATCATATATGAGATATCTTCTCTCCTGCTTCTGTGAATCTGGCAGGGTGTCAATTATCATCTCTCCATCAAGTAATGTGAAATGATGAGTCTTCTCGGCAAAACCCTTAAAACAGATAAAAGAAGATGTCACCTCAAGTATAGAATAGATGTACATTAAAGGGTTTCTTTCAAAAAAGTGCAAGTGTACATCGCTTGTGGGTTTGCAAGGAAATCTCATCTGAACCCTTCTAAAGTTGAAACTTCTATCAATCAAGTAGCAGCCGTCAATAGTTATTAGCATCATATATCGTGTCCCATCAGCTTTCCATGTCGCATAATAATATCGTTGCCTCAGCAGCTGTAAATTGTCCCTGCATCCACAAGAGAACATCAAAATCATCACACACGATTGATATAACAATATAAAGGAACTATTAACATATAAATATAAGTGCAACAATCAAATGCAAAACAAATCACATTATTGAGCTGTATAAGAAAAAAATATGAGATATCGAATGCTTTGACAGTCAAATCTATAAAAATCAGGCTTTCTTTTCTTTATGCTCAAATTGTACACTATTCCAACATGGTGTATAATGATTCTCTCATAAATTAACTCGAAAGACAATCAGAGCTAAAGACAGAGAGTTGGTAACGGTTTTGCAACTATAATTATAGGAGAAGTATCTTTTATTTTATTTATTTATTTATTTTAAAAAGGGAAGCTATATATTGATAAAAAGACTTATGTACAGGCTAGGAGGAGAACAAATCCTCAAAAAACTAGATTACAAAAATGAAGCCCAACTCCTGACAAAGGTCCAAAAAGAGCAGAGAGTGAGGAGAAGTATCTCGACAGCCATAAACAATTCTACTGAAAATCATTAGGAAACAGTTAAACTAAACAATATAAAAATGGATGGCTGCATTAAATATGATCTGGAGATTTCATACTTTCATCTTTTTGCTTGTAAAAGAGGATATGTACTGACTAATCCTCAGTGACAACTCAGGCAAGAAGTCTAGGAGCTATTCCTTTTTTTTTTTTCCCTATCTACTGCAATACTTGTTTAACTTTGTCTCCATTGCTGCTGAGCTTGAGAGGATTCTTTTATGTTAGTAGATTTTTTTTTTTTTTTTTTTGAAAAGAAACAAACCTTTTATCTTAGTAGATTCTTCCTATTTTACCGATATATTACACGTATCATGAGAGCCTCGAGGGCTTTAGAGTCTTAAAAACCATGTTGCACTTCTCACCTCGTTAACTATAAATTATTATGTCAACAAGGTCTTACATATACGTCTATATAAATATATCTGTATGTGTGTGTGTGTGTGTGTGTGTGTGTGTGTGTGTACATGTAGTAAAGCTTACTTATTTTCTGATTTAGGGTGAGATTTATATTACTTGATTTTATTAAGGTTGTAGCTTTCTTATTTGCTTCTTGAACACCTGATCTAGTTTTGACTACTAAACATGAGTAAGCCTCATCTCTCAGTTTTAAGCTAGAGTTTGGACTATATATACACACACACACACACATGTACACATTTGTCCTACTGTTTGACATCGATATTAAAACAGATCAAATGGATTCTAAATGTACCATTCTTAATTATTGTTCTTTCTCCTTTCTTCTTCCACTTTCTTTTCTTTCCTTTTTTTAGTTTGCTAATTCTCCCCTTATTATTCTAGATAGATAAACCATCTCCCACAGACAAATAAAGGTAAAAAAGAGAATCTAAATTAACTTATGTGATAACAGAATTAGACAATAAATTGACAGTAACAACATTCATCGAAACAATGACAATATAACAGTTACAAAAGATTATTTGAAGTTAAACCTGTTTAGCGAGACTGGATGTGACCCTGGGAAGTGGGAGTTCCCTCTTGTCTGAAATTAAAGATATGAATCACATAGTTAAAAAATTGCAAGTCGAGAACATTAAAATTCATGTCAATATCCATTACATTTGAAATTTGGAAACAGCGTATCCAAAGGAACAAATGATTAACAGAAGGGCAAAATAGGAAGAAAAAGAAAAAAACGATGGAAGAAACTAACAACGACAACAATAATGCACTTTTGTTACATCAATGCATCTATATAGCTTTCTAAGCAAAAATAAGTAGAAACATAAACTTGTAAAGTTGTTTGATAATCACGTGTTGATTATTATGAATTTCAGATATATACGAGTATATAGAGGGCATGCAACCATAAAAACTAATCATATCACGAAGTTCCTACCCCGCCGCCCAACTTAAGAGATTGATAGCAGAAGTGCCGCAGTGCTTCTTGCTGGTCCCAAGGTATCTCGTCTCCCAAAATATCATCATTTGTCATCACTACATCTAACTCATGACTCTCCTACAATAGCATGAAAGGATGAACAGAAAAGACATATGTCAGATCTAAAATACGAGCACTACATAAACAATAATAAAAGGAATAAGCAGGCAAAAAAAATAAAAAAAAAAATTGAACAACAAAGTTACCTAACCAATAAATGAAGGTACAAAGAGAGGATTTTTTTATTTCCTTTTTTTTATAAATAGTGATCGATAGACCATAAATTCAATTTCAGTTCAAGTAATAGAAGAAGATAGAGCATTTGCTAAAAAATTAAAAAAAATTAAAAAAAGAGGGACGATTATTGGTTAGTTTAAAGGATATTTCTGCTGATAAATAACAGTAAATACAAAACCATCAATAAAATGATAGTATTACACTATTTAGCTAAAATTTGGAGAGATCCAAGAGTTTCTCAAAACCACTTAAAAGTAACCAATTTTTTGTCTTGCTGTGAAATACAGTCAAAACCTGTAATAAAATACTAATGGCCTATTATTCTATCAGAGATTCTAATGGAGATATGAAGGCTAACTCCTGGAAGACAAAACGGGTACCATTAAGAAGACAACAACTGTCTATGACAATGAAAAAGGCATTTAAATTGGAATAAGACAAATATAATTCCTTAAACATGCATCCAATGACTTTCACCCCATCAGATTAGTCACAAATTAAGAAACATGATAGGTCAGAAATTTTTTTCCGAGAAAATTAAAATTTCTTGTCAAGTGATACACTTTCCGCTTAAATCCTAAGACCTCCATGTAAAATAAAAGTCTCTGTCTTGTCTACCCACCAGAACAGAAAAACCACTCAGTTTACAGCAGCTTATCATGATATTCATATACTAAAACACCACAACACAAAGCACCAGTTACAGTAAAGAATAAGCATACATGCACCGGAGCAGCTGAACCTCCATCATCATCATCATCTGGCACTGCTTCTCCATTAAGATCGAATTCAGAAGATCTTTTCCACTCCGGCGTTGGTGGGCAAAGAACCTTTTCGGGCTTCCTTTCATGGTAAAATGCATATAATGCTTCGATGTAATCAGGTTTATAGATGCCTGGAGGGCGTGCTTCAGCAAAAATAGCAATTGCCTGTTCAATCAAAAAAGAAACAAGGACACATAAACAGGCGTTTGAGCAGAAAACAAACTAAACACACACAACAAAACTGACCTTTCGTTTCTATAAAAAAAAAACAAAAAAACAGGGGACAAAACTGACCTGAGTGACAGTCATTGACATCTGTGAACGCATCAGGTAATGGATAATCATATATCCTGTCCGATTGTGCCCATGTGTGCAATGAACGAGTATATACTTCTTTGCGTGTTTCTGACGCAAAAGGAACTGAGAAACCTGGAGAAGAAACAGCAATGAGTAGTTGTATGCATAACCTAAATACCACTATGTTGAAGAACGCATTTGAAATATGCAATTCAAAAACATTCAGTTATTTTGTTTAACCAGTGAAAAAATAAAATCAAAAAACAAGAAAGAAAGGTAAGGCATAGAACAATCCACGCAAAACACAGGCAAGCAACTAGCATACCATGAACCATTTATATACTAGCTGTCACCCACAGTCAAATCAATTATCCTCATCAAACAAAATAAAAAGCGTAATTATGAGTCGTTGATTTCTTGAATGATGCATGAACAATGTAATCAGACATGAAAACCCACTGGAGGTCCATTACAAATAGTAAATGCTAATTACAATTTGCTACTAAATGATAGTAAAGAAAATATCAATTATAACTTATATCATATATGTGTATTGAATGATAGAGAATAAACCTCGTAGACAAACTGGTTGACAGATGGATTGTCAGGCACAGAGCCACGCCCCTTGCATTGGATCTAGATTACATGCACATAGGGAGAGAGAGAAAAAAAAAAGAAAAAAAAGAAAAAAGAAGTAAGAGTTTCAGCTAGGTAACATACAGGCAAACAAAACTATATCCATGCATAAGACAAAACTACTGACCTTAACATGTTTAATACCCTCTTTCTTTAGATCCATTGTTTGATAGTAACGAGAAGTATTTGTCAAATCAATCACTAAACCAAGCTGAAATGCGAATATGATTAAATAATCATTCAAATAGAAGAAAAGAAAAGCATCTAAATAATACTTTGTAATGGGAAAAGAACTCTTTTTCTAGTGCAAAGTACTTACTTTTATTCCTAAAGTACTTACTTTTCTTCCTAAAACCCTCTGTTGATGAATTACTTGTTTGAACGAGTATCTTTTACCCGGAAGAATACAATCATTATAAGATTCACCAAGTGGAACCTTAGAAGGGATCATGCAACATATTTCGTTACCAACTGGAGGGCAATCCAACCAACCTGAATTACAAAACCAATATGAACAACCACCAATGCATGGAGGGTACTTAAGAATGACATTGAAGAAGAGCAAAATATGAGAATGACGTTGTTAATTAACATAAATGCAGAATATCGACCCCATAATTAAAGAATGTGTAGGTAGACTTATCAAACCACTTTGATAACTGAGAAACATAAATACATTAACCTTCCTAAGATCAAGTTAGAACTTTCTTACCAACGAACTACAAATACATATTTCATACCAACTTTTAATTAAATTCCAGCTGCAGAATTGTAAAACACGTAAAAAGTTTTGAAGAATTGATCAGCCTAATAAAACTATACAAATATTCAAAAGAAAAATGCATTACTTCTTAAATGATCCACAATTAGTAAGCAAGTGTGACGAGGTAAAACAACATAAGCTTCTACGCATCATAAAGTGCTCAACAACAGTGAAAATACACTATCATGCAACTTTGAAAATGAACGTCTTCTAGCACTTTAACAACTGTACTGGAGCACAAGAAAATAAAATAAAAACCTACCAGGGGGCAGCCTGCTCTTGTCATAAGTTTTTTGTGTTTTTGCTTGAAATTGATCATAGTAAGGTGGTTGAGACATTTGCATTGGCCTATCATCTGTGCGGTCTCTTTTTAGTCGCATACGTCTTTCTTCACGCTCCTAACAGAAAAAGCATGCATGCAAATATGAAGGATAAGCAAACCAAAAAATGAAAGAAAAGAAATTTCTAAATTCAGTTCATAATGCATAACTACCGAATATTCTAAGAAATGTTGTGTTTAAACTGGTCATTACATAAAATTCAGAATCAAGACGTGACTACTACTGTTCAAGCAAGTTAAAGAGGAGTCCTTCCTTCAAGGATTTCCCATTGTCTATGATCATGCTAAGTTGGGAAGAATTATTGATTCCTTTTTTGTCCGTATGTTTGGGTCAATGGTTATGTAACTTTATAGTGACTTTGTGTAAGTACGTTATGTTATCTCCTTGGTCTGCTTGATGGATATGTCGTCCATATTGTTTCTATTTGCATTTGTTATTTTATTCTTTTGCTTAAAATTGTCAGTTTCTTATATATTATTTTTTTTAAAACAAAAAAAAAAACACTATTGTTCTAGCAAGTTGTCTGACAAAAAGTTGAGATAGAAGCCGAGCAAAGTTCCAGCACATAGTCATAGAAATTGAAAAACAAGGAGGGGACCAAGAATCTTCAAACTCCAGAAATGTATTGACCAAAAGTTTAAGACAAATACTTGCTATTAAGACTGATTATCAAGTAGTGGTTTTTTATTTTCTTTCTTCTTTCCCTTTTCTATCACCAGAAAACTAAGTAATTATAGTATTTGGTCTCAATCGAGTCCATATGAAGTCCTTAATGTACTTTCTTAAAATCCTTCTTAATATTTTAAATATGTAAGGCCACTCATGATTGCTAAAATGCAAGTGTGCGTGAATCAATGCACATTGACATTACTAGCATGTGCATGCACATCATCTTGAACAAAACAACTCACTAAGGCAATATGTGAAAGATGAGATCACTAAACTACTATTAAAGCGAGCTAGATTCTGGTTGATACTATTAAGTATACAAAAATAGTGAAAGACAATACACCCAATTATCATGAGTTGGAGGGTATGCAAGCCAAACAAGAAATGAGAAAAGATACCCGACGAGCGATGTCGACTGCAGACTCTACACGTTCTTCGTGTTCAGGTGCACTGTACTCTTCTATATGCCTATCAAAAGTCTCTTCATCTTCTTCAGGTACTGGGGAGACATTCAAGTCCATTGCAACAATCATTCATAATCGATCATGCAATATTCACCAGCAAACGTTATCGAACGCCCACAAGTCACTTTCTCAAAAGAATACCTATGCCATTTGAATAACAACTTGAATTAGCATTTCATGCACAACAGACGTAAATATTCCCTAAACATCAATAGGGAATCGAGCGATAACATATATGACTCATATTTAAAGGCAGAATCAGGAATCGGGGCGTTTTGTCTAGCACATGATTGTTTACGAGGATTCAAACTTAAAATTCTGCTCAAGAGACTAAATACCATGAGGCAGATTCATTGGTCATTTGGTTATCAAAGTCTAATTAGTAGAGAGACCAACTAAGCATGCATAATTGTCCCAAGAACATTGCAAAACCAATTGGATGAGGTTTGAACTGAACTTGCAGAATATTACTACAGAAACGCCATCTACGGAAAACAAAATATCACCAAAGAGGGTACCTTCAAGAATCTTACAGAGGGATTGGCTTGCATTGCCCTTCAACGGGCTCCTTTTTTTTTTTTTGTGGGCGTGGAATGAATATAAACATTAACTTTTTAGCAAAGATATTGTTATTTTCTTGCAGAAAAGCAAGCATGTGAAGAAACCTATGAGGTTGCTAAGAACAGAGCCGGCTTAACCCTAAGGCAGGTTAAGCGGCTGCTTAAGGCCCTAAAGTTTTAAGCCTACAATTTAGGCCTGTTTCTATTATATTTTTTGGGCATGTCTATGGTAGGGGGAGCTTTTTTCCCCTACCGGTAGGGTGAAATCCAACGATCCATATTAAATTTTAGTGAAGGTTTACGTATAGCCTATATTAAGACAACTCAGAAACCTTCAAATTATCAAATTTTCCTTGCAATCAACAATTCCAAAGAATTCATACAACCCAGAAACCAACCTTCAAATTATCAAAATTCCTAACAGGTTGATTTCGAAACAAGCAAATCCAAGTCCCTAAACTGAATCAAGAGAGAAAAAAGTGAATGAGATTACGGTTTTGTTTGCTCCAGTTTCCGAATCTATTGTTTCCTCGAAAATTCCTTCATTTTCTTCTTCCCCAAACACCTCTTCTATATTCTCGTGACAAGTATGAACTCTTTTTCTTGCAGAAAAGCAAGCATGTGAAGAAACCTATGAGGTTGCTAAGAACAGAGCCGGCTTAACCCTAAGGCAGGTTAAGCGGCTGCTTAAGGCCCTAAAGTTTTAAGCCTACAATTTAGGCCTGTTTCTATTATATTTTTTGGGCATGTCTATGGTAGGGGGAGCTTTTTTCCCCTACCGGTAGGGTGAAATCCAACGATCCATATTAAATTTTAGTGAAGGTTTACGTATAGCCTATATTAAGACAACTCAGAAACCTTCAAATTATCAAATTTTCCTTGCAATCAACAATTCCAAAGAATTCATACAACCCAGAAACCAACCTTCAAATTATCAAAATTCCTAACAGGTTGATTTCGAAACAAGCAAATCCAAGTCCCTAAACTGAATCAAGAGAGAAAAAAGTGAATGAGATTACGGTTTTGTTTGCTCCAGTTTCCGAATCTATTGTTTCCTCGAAAATTCCTTCATTTTCTTCTTCCCCAAACACCTCTTCTATATTCTCGTGACAAGTATGAACTCTCCAAATTGTAGACATAATAATAACTTACACAAAATTCAGAAAATATTAAGGATAACAATAATCATATTAGTAATAACCATAAAGTATAGACTATAAATCCCTTTTCCGAAAGAAAAGAGAGAAAAAAAAAAAAAAAAAAAAAAAAAAAAAAAAAAAAAAAAAAACCGAAAGACTAGAGAGAAACCTGTTTTCGAAGAAATCTGAGTATTCATAAACGCATGTAATCCGAGATCTTCAGCGAATTTAGTGTCTTCGATGAACGAGCAACAAGATGATGAAGTAAGTGGAAACCCGGAGCCACAATCAACGGAAAATGAAACCAACCGACATAAATCACACGCACTTCCTCCATTAATCAGTGATTCTCTTGACGAAGCCCGTGACGGAGTCCATTATGCCGGCGCCGTCGTGGGGGAGGACTGCAGTCCAAGGATAGGCGAGTTGACGCCGTCTTGCATGCGCCGTTGTAAGAGAGGGCTTCTGTCGGAGAGAGGGGAGAAGTTGGGTGTGCGGGGTGCAGGATGCCGTGGGGTGAAACTGGAGGTGGTGGTGGCTGGTGGGTCTGCAAATTAAGTTGGGGTATCAAAGATGGGTTTGCCAATTAGGGATTGGGTCTGCAAAATTTGCGTTAGGGAAGGAAGGTTTTTTTTTTTTTTTTTTTAGTGGTGTGAATAAAAGATTTGATTAGGTGTGGTAGTCTTTATTCTTGTTTCTACAGAACAATAAGTATTTTGGACCAAAGTTTTAATCTAACGGTCTTTATTATTTCACCTTACCGGCAAGGAAAAAGCGCCCCCTACCATGGAATTTGCCATATTTTTTATATACCATTTAGATTAATTTTGGATTAATTTCGTAAATGTCCGCTTTAATACCTTATTTTAAAATATCTCATGGTTTTTTAAAAAAGTTCAAAATACCTTTTAATTCATAAAAAACGTATCAAAATACTTTTTTCATAATCTCAATAAATTTGTTGATGTGGCAACTATTAAAAATTAATTTAAGTCATTAAATTCTAATTAACTACATGAAATGGTTAAATATTAAAAAATAGAGAATGAACAAAAACGCTATTTCAAAAAAATAAAAAACATTAAAAAATCATAAGATTTGATACCAGAAAAAAAAAAAAAAAAAAAAACCCAACTTTCCTTTATTTCTCCCATTGGGCTCGATGCAATTTTTAACACTCTTCTTTTTCATTCTCCTTCTTCATCAATTTTGTTTTTACTTTTGCTCTTTTTCTTTCTTTTTCTTTTCTTATTTTAAATACACGATCTGGATAGAGCAACAAGGATGTTCCCTGTTTGTGTGAGAGAGGAGAGCAAGTTTGGGTTTTTGCAGACAAGAACCAAAGATTCATCATCTAAATATGGCGATATATGGTAGGATACATATATATGTTTCGGGATATATAGATAGTACAGTTGTTGTTGTTGTTGGTTTTTGATCGGAATGGTTGTTCGCGAGGGAAGCAACACGCTTCTGAGGTTGTTTGGTTGGGTTCGCGAGGGGAGCGGTGCGATTGTAAGGCTGCGACGACAAGTGTGGTTCATCGTGTCTGGATGGGTCGCGCAAAGAAGCACTGCTGGGGGCGGTGCAAGCCTAGCTACGATGCCCTTCGACGACTCATCCCCTCCCGTGCGGCATGCTTGTGATGGAACACAAATTTTTTGGGGAAGAATATATGTTTTTTAAAAGATTTTTCAAATCTGTGTTCTTCATCTGATCTATTTTTTGTTATTTATTTTTTGTTTTTCAAACTTTTGTTTTGTTTGTTCTTTTATTCGTTTTTAAATTTTAAATTTTATTGATTTTGCGTGATTTATATTAAGGTTAATTGTTTTGTCTGTTAATAATTAGAGTTTATATTTTAAACAACTTTTGTGAAGCTTTAATAACAAGCCACGTTATCAAATTAGCTAACTTTATAGACGGACTTAAACGGAGAGAGTATTTTGATACATTTTCTATAGATTAAGGAATGTTTTGAACTATTTTAAAAAAATTAAAAGGTAATTTAAAATAAAATACATATTTATAAAATTAATCCTTTAATTTTCTTTGAGAAGCCAACGATTATATATATATATATATATATATATTAAAACTCACCACACAAGGTGGTACCCTCAAATATAGGATAGTCAATAGGGATTGAGATTTTTGAAAAAAATCTCAATCCAGAAAAGGTAAAAAAAAAAAAAAATGATTTACGTTTAATAAGTATCCTGCATTGGAAAGAACTCAATTAAACTGTAACCTTTTCTTTGTATAAAAAAAAGAAAAAAAAATTAATGTCAATCTTTTTGTCCTCTTTCTTTTTTATTTAGAAAATTATGTTCCTTTTTCTCTTTCTTATACTTGCATTCATATTTCTTCATTTTCACAACAACAATCTATTCTCTCAAAGATCTTTTTTTTACTTTTAAATACTGTACTGTTACTATTTTCTCAATATTTTTGTTTACAGTTTCTACGTTATACCTATCTTATTCATTTTTGTATATACTTGTTGATTACTGTTTGAAAGATTCTCTGATACGCCTAACGTACCGGTAGACCAGTTTTTTTAATTATTGGATCTGCATACTTTTTAACTTTTACGTAATTTTATGCAGATCCGACATACAGAAAACTTAACTTACCGGTATGTTGGCGTATCGGAGAAAATCCTTTACTGTTTTTTTAATTTTAAATTAGCCATTTTATTTTTTGTTATTGTTGTTATGTTGTGCTGATGGTTTTCATGCATATCCAAATAAAGTTTTAAGAATAAACTTGACGGGGTATTTCAAACTCAAGACAAAAGGGAAATAGAAAGTTTGATTCAATCTCAAAAAGAAGCTTTTAAAAATTATTAAAGCGGAGAAGTACACTTCTTTTTGGTAGAGAAGGTTTTAATGAGTTTTAACATTGAAATTTTAGTATCATTACTTTAACTTTGTTGCCTTTTTATATTGGTTGTTATTTGTTTTTCTTCATTTGATGTAGTGTATTATTTTATTAATTTTGAATGGTATAAATAGATATTCAGTTTTTTTTTTAATTTAATTTCAGTGCACAATGCTATATGTATATATAATATCTATATCCATAACTATACATTAAAAGTGAATGCACTTACTATTTATCTGCACAAAAGACTATTTACCTAGATACAAAAGAACTATTCAAAGTACATAATATACTAGTTGAACTCTACGTGCTTTTACATGTGAAAAGTAATATGTGTGTTAAGTTATAATTAATTAATTATCATGTTATTATTAAAAACATATAAGATTTGAATATAAAATTTCAATGCGGAACGAAAATAAGAAAAAATAAATTTTAAGGCAAGAAGCCAAGATAAAGTCAAAAAACAACTAAAATGAATAAATAATTATTGTTTTAAGACAAAAGGAACCAAAGCAAAAAAATAAAATTTTAGGAAGGAAATAAAAAAGGGTCAAAAAAGACAAAAATGAAGAAATAACTAAATTTTAGAGTAAAATGAACCAAAACAAAAAAAAAAATTTAAGAAAAAATAAAAAAAAAGAGTCAAAAAAGGATAAAATGGAGAAATAAATAAGTTTTAAGGCAAAATGAGCAAAATGAAAAAAAAAAAAAAAAAGTTTCAGGTAAAGAATAAAAAAGACGTCAAAAAAAGACAAATGAAAAAAATAAATAAATAAGTTTTAGGGCAAAAGAAACAAAAAAAAAAGAAAAAAATTTAGGACAAAAAGTTAAAAAAAAGTAATAGGACTAAAATGAAGAAATGAATAAGTTTTAAGGTAAACAAAATTTTAAGGCAAAAGCAAAGAAACATTGACAATAAAAAACCAAAAGAGAAAAATGAATAAATTTTAAAGCAAAAGAAACCAAAATGAAAATAAAAATAAAATTTTAAGACAAAAAGAAAAAAAAATAAAAAGTTAAAAGGACTAAAATAAAAATAAAACGAATAAGTTTTAGAATGAAAAATAAAAACAACCTAAAATAAAAGACTAAAAAAAAGTAAAAAAATTGTACATTTTCAACCAAAATTATATCGTTTCGGTTAAAAGTGCACTATTTAAAATACACTTTCTCACTTCAATTAACACTAAATGAAAGAAAAAGATTAGGCTCCGTTCATTTCGTTAATTCGAGTTTAGAATTCGAGTTTTGCTACAGTAAAAAGCTCTCACAAACAATCACATCTAACTTTTTTGCTACAGTAAAAAACTCTCATATAAAATCACATCTCAACTCAAATTAAAAACTCGAATCAGCGAACTAAACGGGCCCTAACAAAACTTCTCAAAAAAGTTTTCTAAGACATTTAATATATACCATTGAAATGACCAAAACGCTTAAACAAAAAACAAATGAAGAAATAAAAAGCTGAGGATAAAATAGTAAAAGCAAAAGTGAGGGGGCACACGGAATTTTTTTAACGTTAAGGGACAAAAAAGACTAGATAGTATATACTACGAAAATGACTAAAACTCCCAAACAAAAAACAAACGAATGAATAAGAAACTGAGAGTAAAACAATAAAAACAAAAGTAAGTGAACACAGACTTTTTCGAAAGATGATGGATAAAAAAAAATCTGACACTGTTCAAGAAACAATAAAAAGACTGCCTCCTATAATATATAAAAAGTTTGAGGGATAAAAAAGATGGAACACCAGGGACCAGTTTTTTATTGCCTTCTATAGTATATAGTATAATGTACTTTAAAGGGTTTCTTTCAAAAAAGTGCGAAGTGTACATCGCTTGTGGGTTTGCAAGGAATTCTCATCTGAACCCTTCTAAAGTTGAAACTTCTATCAATCAAGTAGCAGCCGTCAATAGTTATTAGCATCATATATCGTGTCCCATCGGCTTTCCATGTCGCATAATAACATCGTTGCCTCAGCAGCTGTAAATTGTCCCTGCATCCACAAGAGAACATCAAAATCATCACAAACGATTGATATAACAATATAAAGGGACTATTAACATAAAATATAAGTGCAACAATCAAATGCAAAACAAATCACATTATTGAGCTGTATAAGAAAAATATATGAGATATCGAATGCTTTGAGAGTCAAATCTACAAAAATCAGGCTTTCTTTTCTTTATGCTCAAATTGTACACTATTGCAACATGGTGTATAATGATTCTCTCATAAATTAACTCGAAAGACAATCAGAGCTAAAGACAGAGAGTTGGATAACGGTTTTGCAACTATAATTATAGGAGAAGTATCTTTTATTTTATTTATTTATTTATTTTAAAAAGGGAAGCTATATATTGATAAAAAGACTTATGTACAGGCTAGGAGGAGAACAAATCCTCAAAAAACTAGATTACAAAAATGAAGCCCAACTCCTGACAAAGGTCCAAAAAGAGCAGAGAGTGAGGAGAAGTATCTCGACAGCCATAAACAATTCTACTGAAAATCATTAGGAAACAGTTAAACTAAACAATATAAAAATGGATGGCTGCATTAAATATGATCTGGAGCTTTCACACTTTCATCTTTTTGCTTGTAAAAGAGGATATGTACTGACTCATCCTCAGTGATAACTCAGGCAAGAAGTCTAGGGGCATTCCTTTTTTTTTTTCCTATCTACTGCAATACTTGTTTAACTTTGTCTCCATTGCTGCTGAGCTTGAGAGGATTCTTTTATGTTAGTAGATTTTTTTTTTTTTTTTTTGAAAAGAAACAAACCTTTTATCTTAGTAGATTCTTCCTATTTTAACGATAAATTACACGTATCATGAGAGCCTCGAGTGCTTTAGAGTCTTAAAAACCATGTTGCACTTCTCACCTCGTTAACTATAAATTATTATGTCAACAAGGTCTTACATACACGTCTATTTAAATATATCTGTATATGTGTGTGTGTGTGTGTGTGTATACATGTAGAGTAAAGCTTACTTGTTTTCTGATTTAGGGTGAGATTTATATTGCTTGATTTTATTAAGGTTGCAGCTTTCTCATTTGCTTCTTGAACGCCTGATCTAGTTTTGACTACTAAACACGAGTAAGCCTCATCTCTCAGTTTTAAGCTAGAGTTTGGACTATATATGTGTACACACACATGTACAAATTTTTCCTACTGTTTGACATCGATATTAAAACAGATCAAATGGATTCTAAATGTGCCTTTCTTAATTATTGTTCTCTCTCCTTTCTTCTTCCACTTTCTTTTCTTTCCTTTTTTTATTTTGCTAATTCTCCCCTTATTATTCTAGATAGATAAACCATTCTCCCACAGACAAATAAAAGTAAAAAAGAGAATCTAAATTAACTTATGTGGATCACAGAATTAGACAATATATTGATAGTAACAACATTCATCGAAACAACGACAATATAACAGTTACAAAAGATTATTTGAAGTTAAACCTGTTTAGCGAGACTGGATGTGACCCTGGGAATTGGGAGTTTCCTCTCGTCTGAAATTGAAGATATGAATCACATAGTTAAAAAATTGCAAGTCAAGAACATTAAAATTCATGTCAATATCCATTATATTCGAAATTTGGAAACATTTATTTCAGAAACAGCGTACCCAAAGGAACAAATGATTAACAGAAGGGCAAAATAGGAAGAAAAAGAAAAAACGATGGAAGAAACTAGGAACGACAACAATAATGCACTTTTGTTACATCGATGCATCTATATAGCTTGCTAAGCAAAAATAAGTAGAAAGATAAACTTGTAAAGTTGTTTGATAATCACGTGTTGATTATTACGAATTTAAGATATATATGAGTATATAGAGGGCATGCAACCGTAAAAACTAATCATATCACGAAGTTCCTACCCCGCCGCCCAACTTAAGAGTTAATAGCAGAAGTGCCGCAGTCATCTTGCTGGTCCCAAGAAATCTCGTCTCCCAAAATATCATCATTTGTCATCACTGCATCTAACTCATGACTCTCCTACAATAGCATGAAAGGATGAACAGAAAAGACATATGTCAGATCTAAAATAACGAGCACTACATAAACAATAATAAAAGGAATAAGCAGGAAAAAAAGAATTGAACAACCGAGTTACCTCACCAATAAATGAAGGTACAAAGAGAGGATTTTTTATTCGCTTTTTTTTCTAATAGTGATCCATAGACCGTAAATTTCAATTTCAATTCATGTAATAGAAGAAGGAAGAGCATTTGCTTTAAAAGGGGGAGAAAAAAAAGGACGAATATTGGTTAGTTTAAAGGATATTTCTGCTGATAAATAACAGTAAATACAAAGCCAACAATAAAATGATAATATTACACTATTTAGCGAAACTTTGGAGAGATCCAAGAGTTTCTCGAAACCACTTAAAAGTAACCAATTTTTTTCTTGCTGTATGTAGTAGAGGCAACCAAACAAAGGTGAAATAGAGTCAAAACACGTAATAAAATACTAATAACCTATTATTCTATCAGAGATTCTAATGGAGATATGAAGGCTAACTCCTGGAAGACAAAAAGGGTACAATTAAGAAAACAACAACTGTCTATGACAATATAAAAGGCATTTAAATTGGAATAAGACAAATATAATTCCTTAAACATGCATCCAATGACTTTCACCCCATCAGATTAGTGACAAATTAAGACACATGATAGGTCAGCAATTTTCGAGAAAAATGAAATTTCATGTCAAGTGATACACTTTCCGCTTAAATCCTAAGACCTCCATGTAAAATAAAAGTCTCTGTCTTGTCGACCCACCAAAACAGAAAAACAACTCAGTTTACAGCAGCTTATTGTGATATTCGTATAGTAAAACATCACAACACAAAGCGCCAGTTAAAGTAAAGAATAAGCATACATGCACCGGAGCAGCTGAACCTCCATCATCATCATCATCTGTCACTGCTTCTCCATTAAGATCGAATTCAGATCTTTCCCACTCCGGCATTGGTGGGCAAAGAACATTTTCGGGCTTCCTTTCATGGTAAAATGCATAGAATGCTTCGATGTAATCAAGTTTAGAGATGCCAGGAGGGCGTGCTTCAGCAAAAATAGCAATTGCCTGTGCGATCAAAAAAGGAACAAGGACGCATAAACAGGCGTTTGAGCAGAAAACAAACTAAACACACACAACTAAGTACAAAACTCACCTTTCGTTTCTATCAAAATAAAAAAAAAGGAACAAAACTGACCTGAGTGACAGACATTGATATCTGTGAACGCATCAGGTAATGGATAATCATATATCCTGTCCGATTGTACCCATGTGTGCAATGAACGAGTATATACTTCTTTGAGTGTTTCTGACGCAAAAGGAATTGAGAAACCTGGAGAAGAAACAGCAATGAGTAGTTGTATGCATAACCAAAATACCACTATGTTGAAGAAGGTATATAAAACATGCAATTCAAAAACATTCATTTATTTTGTTTAACCAGTGAAAAAATAAAATCAAAAAACAAGAAAGAAAGGGCATGCATAGAAGAACAATCCATGCAAAACACAGGCAAGCAACTAGCATACCATGAACCATATTCATACAAGCTGCCACCCACAGTCAAATCAATTGTCCTTATAAAAAAAAAATAAAAAGCATAATTATGAGTCCTTGATTTCTTGAATGATGCATGAACAATGTACTCAGACATGAAACCCCACTGGAGGTCCATTACAATTAGTAAATGCTAAATACAATTTGCTCTTAAATAATAGTAAAGAAAATATCAATTATAACTCATATCATATATGTGTATTGAATGATAGAGAATAAACCTCGTAGACAAACTGGTTGACAGATGGATTGTCAGGCACAGAGCCACGCCCCATGCATTGGATCTAGATTACAAGCACATAGGGGCAAAAAAATAAAAAAAAAATCAGCTAGGGAACATACCGGCAAACAAAACTGTATCCATGCACAAGACAACACTACTGACCTTAACATGTTTAGTACCCTCTTTAGTTAGATCCGTTGTTTGATAGTAACCAGAAGTATTTGTCAAATCAATCACTAAACCAAGCTGAAATGTGAATATGATTTAATAATCATTCAAATAGCAGAAAAGAAAAGCATCTAAATAATACTTTGTAATGGAAAAAGAACTCTTTTTCTAGTGCAAAGCACTTACTTTTCTTCCTAAAACCCTCTGTTGATGAATTACTTGTTTGAACGAGTATCTTTTACCAGGAAGAATACAATCATAAGATTCACCAAGTGGAACCTTAGAAGGTATCATGCAACATATTTCGTTACCAGCTGGAGGGCAATCCAACCAACCTGCATTACAAAACCAATATGAACAACCACCAATACATGGAGGATACTTAAGAATGACATTGAAGAAGAGCAAAATATGAGAATGACGTTCTTAATTAACATAAATACAGAATATCAACCCCATAATTAAAGAATGTGTAGGTAGACATATCAAACCACTTTGATAACAGAGAAACATAAATACATTAACCTTCCTAAGATCAAATTAGAACTTTCTTACCAACGAACTACAAATGCATATTTCATACCAAGTTTTAATTAAATTCCAGCTGCAGAATTGTAAAACATGTATAAAGTTTTGAAGAATTCTTTATGATCTGCCTAATAAAACTATATAAATATTCAAAAGAAAAACGCAATTTACTCCTTTAATGATATCCACAATTGCTAAGCAAGTGTGACGAGGTAAAACAACATAAGCTTCTACACATCATAAATTGCTCAACAACAGTGAAAATACACTCCACTGTATTGTATTTCTCACTTTTTGTTCCTTACAAGTTACATAAGAGAAAAAATGATCATCTCTCTTTTCTCTTTGGGGCTTTGCCCCTTTTATAGCTTACAGGTTACCCGATAACATCCCCCTTGGATGAGATGTCTTTGGGGCCTTGTGACGGTTCCTATCGAGTGGCCCATCCACTTAAATGGCTCATCCACTCGAGTGGCCTGCCATCCCATTTACCTAGATTGTAGCATGTCAGCCCCTTTTGGACTGTTCACTCATCTAATTTGTCCCCCTATTTCGGCTTTGCAGGTCCTCTGTAACTTCCATTGGTCCGTTCTAGACAGCTTAGGGATTTGTAATCATTCCCCCAGCAACTGACCTTCTCCAAACCCATATGTAACCTAGGGATCTTCAGCTTGCCGCCTCAGAGGTCTTTCTTGGGATACGGACCCAATGGCTTGCGTTATGCCTTCTGCGCCATGCTGCACTTAGCCAGGTGTGGTCTCGACTGTATATAAGGTCGACGGTATCATGCCCCCTTAGGCAATCAGTTCTTATACCACGGGGAGGAATGAGTCTCAGGCGTCGCCGGCTACGTGACGCGTCAGGCACGGGGCCACGTGGGGCATGGCCATTGTCTGACGTGTCAGTGTGAATTTTCCCACACAACAGCTGCCCCCCAGGTCGAGACTTTTCTTCGGACTGCCTCAAGCTAGGTCTGGGATTTGCTCTGGCTCTTATTTTGTTTGCTTCGGACGCGGGAGCCTAATTCCGAACCTCCCTCGCAATAATGGCTTAGGTGCTTCAAAAATCCCTCGAGAAGTGCAAACGTCGCGTCACTTCAATCACCATGCTGACATGGGCCTTTATTAAACGGACGAATCTGAGGCGTTGGATCGCGTCTTTTTAGCTTCCCGCCTTTGTTTCTGCCGTTCGATCTCGATCGGTTGCCCCCGCCATTGGATTCACTCGGATTCCGTCCAACAGTCAGGGGTCGAGGGCTCGTCATACTTTAAAAAGCTGCATCGAACCGAGACTTCTATCCAAACCTCTAAGGACTATCGTTACTCTGCCCAAATTTTCCCAAAATCCAAATCCCGCCTGTCTCATTCTCTTCGGTGTTTTGCGAAGCTCACTTTGGTTGCACTCCAGATTCCAGCATTTCTTGAATCCCTGGTAAGTCCCTCTATCTTCTGCTTCTTTTTCTTATTTGGTTTTTCGGATCATTATGTGCCCTTAGGCTTGAAGTAGACATTCAGGAGGTTAAAAAACTTACTTTGTGTACATATGAACCCTCATAGGCTAGCTTTTCGATTTCTGGTCGTTTATAAGGAGTTGAGGTTCTGAATTTGGGGCGTTTGGCTGGGAAACCTGGGTTTCCCATGAGCGTTCATCGTCTTTTTCTTGTGAATGATCGGCGCCTTTATGAGTCGTCGGCATTTTCACGCCTTTGGTAGTCTTTTAAACAATTGACGTTGTCGTAGATTGTCCTCTCCCTCTCGACTTAAGCTTTTAACTTAGCTCCTCATATCATCCCTTCTTTTTTGTTATACCATAACAATGGCTTTTAAACCGTCTAACCGTCAAGAGGGGCCCTCTTCATTCATTGTAAGGCCAAATTCTTCTTCTGCCGCCGAGGCCTCGTGGACATCCTCTTCAACAGACAACGACCCCATCCTAAGGGAAGTCGAGAACTACGCGGCAGAAACGGGGAAAGTCGACAGTGTCGACGCTTTGGTCAAGGGAGACGACATCGGTGAAGGTTCCCTGGTAGGGGGAGAAATGTGGGATTCGCCGCCTCCATCGTAGATGCCCCATTGGCCGGCATGAGTGGAGATCTCGATCGGCCTTTCTTCACGGCCGACGTGACGGCGCCAAGGACTCGAAATAGGGACATTGTCCGGGTGTATAAAGAGGAGTACATACACAGGAGATGGTTTAATTACCTTCTTCCGGACACACACTTTAGATTTAGCCTCCCTCCTCTTGGGTTTCTTCTAGTATACACCCAGGCCTTCATTGTAAGGATGACTTTGCCAGTTCATCCGTTTGTGAAGGATTTTTTTTTCACCATCATGGCATCTCCCTTGCCTAGTTGGTGCCGAAATAAGGGTGATGAAAGAAAAGGCTAAAAAGCTCAAGCAGGGTTAACTGACGATAAAAATAAGGGATGGCTTCAAAGGCCCAAATGATTCAAGAGAATGCCTAAGTCATCTCCTCAACAATTCCTAACCTAGGATTTCACCTCAAGTAGCACTAGGATGCGTTCTAGAACTCCTTTTTGAGATACAAGAGCCTCCTAAGTCACATAAATGTTCTCTAAATGCTCAAAAGTCTAGGTGATCAAGGTTTATCGTGGTCGAAAATGCAGGAAATCAAGAGAGAATTGCAACCAATAAGGGAGTTAAGTACACAGACAATTTATGCTGAAAACATTTTCAAAGACCTAAGGACACTTCTTAACATAATTATATCATTGAGTTCTTTGGCTAACAAAAAATTACGATGCAAAC